CTATATTGGGTCCTTTGGCGCCAAGAATGGGTATTTGGTACCATATTTGAGATTTGGATTCATTTGTTGTTCTAGGTACGATATCAGGAATATTGGCGCTATCATTGGAGTACAGGGCACGAAATATCGACACGCGGCAAGGGGGCGATCCAGGTTCAAGATGATATCGGTTTAAAGAGTCCCCTATAATTATCAAATGGGCTTTAGGATAGGTTGGATAGTAATTTTGCTGGATAATAAACAGACTTGAACTCTACTTTTTCCACACACTCCACGCGTCCTTCCTTTCCGGGTAAGACATCTTTGGCTTACCGACGGCTCAAGGTACGCGTGCTCAAGGCTATTGAAGACCGATTTTGGATTGTTGGCCAAGATCGACAAGAGCGATCTCAGGGAATTTGGTCCAGATTGATCAAGACCTCACACACTCAAATCACTGCTAAGGTAGCATCAACACGGTAAAGGCTTTTGATTACAAGATCGCTAGACGGCTTAAGTGGTTAGAAGATCTGAACAAGGAGTTCAAGACAAGACCGAGCAAGGTCGCCGCGATCCACATGGCAGATCGGCACGTTTCATTTTAGCGAACCTCAAGACTAATCTGCCCACACTGCGCACTTCTGACCAGATCGGTCGATCTCGAACCAGATCGGACCGATCTCAAGGCAAGATCGACGCAGATTCATAACATTCGCTGAGTGGAGATTTACACGCAGTGATGACACCGATCCTGAAGTCAGGATCGAGATCGGTGCGATCCAAGATCGAGATTGCTACCTCTCTGAATAAAAGATCGCATCAACCCAAGATCAAGATCGCAGAACCAGTTCGTGGTGTGAAGATTTCCACACCGGCAGCGAGCTCTCAACCCCGAACCCCCATTGAGATTGACATCTTCCAAGGCCATTACGAAGAGCTCAAGCCAGCATAACCTGACGGGTACACAAGCTGAGCACAAGGTCTTAGAACAAGGCACGGATCGGAGTACCCCCTCCGTGAGTCGTCAAGTCCGGGCAAGTGGAAGTTTAAGTATCATGTAAGCAACTTTTTGAGATGGACTTCACGACAATGTCAGTTCTGACATTACGTGCGGTACCTTCACAGCCGACCGCACTCGATGCATTCACGTACCACCACACGCATTAAAGGAATTGCGTCATTGATAACTTGGCCTAGGCCAATCATTCTTCTATCTTTCAGTGACTCGTTGTCACAACAAGTTACACTTTATGAAGTACAGCCGCATCACTAATGAGATACGCTCGGAATCAATGAAAACAACATTGGAGTTAGTTAGCCCAGACATTCAAATGTCCATCACACTAACATTATCTGTCAAAGTCTCGAGCCAATTATGATCTTGTTGCATAGAAAAGGCGAGCTCATGACTCTCTAAAACTTCGCTATGAACTTATTGCGTCGCGTCTAAGGCCTCAGACCTCCAATTAGTCCATGGATCATGGCGCTCAAGCCAATCCATTTATTGGATAAGATCATATCTTGAGTTCAAATCAAGTACAAGACAGTTTTCATTGCTATTTAAGTCCAAAATTTTATGCCTAAGTTCAACGGAACTTCAATTATAGTGACACTACTTCCAGTCGCTACATTAACAGTAATTAAATCACCTTCATGCGCTGTAAGCACATAAAAATAGCGCTAACTTTATTTAAGGAAAGACGTCAAGAATATCTGCAAGATGGCCCAAAATTAATTCAAAAATGACCAAGGCTTTTCGAAGCCATTCATTTTCGCCTCAGCTACCAACACGCCAGACTTGTATCCACGCTCCATACCAGTAGGTATGGAGCTCTTTGGGGCTTATCCCTGTTCAACTTCACCTCCTTAAGGCGTTGCAGAACCAATGTATTCCCCAGTAAGGCGCCTCATGCCTACGGGATGTCGACTTTTACCATGCCATGCCAAACTTCTGGTTCAGGGTAGATTGTTGTATCGTACCCTGGACTTCTCTACGCAAAGAGCAACACGGCCTCTAGTTTTCAGTGCTTCCGCACGTAAAATACTGTCGTCCAACACGTTGCTACTCAGCAGCTTAAAGTTTAACTTCACCTTATATTAAGCATAGCTGAGATTTATTAATTCCGGCCTAGTTACGGCCGGAGTACTTGTGTAGTTTGCTCTTGCAGAGCTAGAGTTGTGCCTTTTTAGCCATGCCTGGCCGACTTGAGGTTACGATCAGCATTTATAGCAATTCTCACAGCCTCTTCGAATGTAGAGAGCTGAAAGTAACATTCATTTAGTTTTGGCAATGCCAGTACAGAGACCCTCCATGTATAAAGCCACATGAAATGTCTGAGGCATAGGTTCAGACTGCAGAGCAGCCATTTTAGTTCTCAAATATTAGACATATTTTGTATACACGTTATAATCCACATGGAATAACCAAGAGTGTGAGCGCACGCTGTAAATCTGGTTAGGTGATAAAAACAACCGTTCCAATTGTAACATATGCGACTCTAATGTGGGATTTGCTAAGTTGACCGACTATCTGCACGTCAAGGTCTATTATTTAAATCTTCCATCGAGCTTTGAGACATTCAGCGAAACCTGTTGATGATCAAGCTTGATCAGGCGTGATATCATGGCCATCCCAATCTCACGGACCAAACAATGAGGTTTTCACCCTCCTTTCCTGAGCAGTTTATAGCTTCCACCATAAGTGGCCGAGTTCCAAGCATTCGTCAAGAACATACGCATAGCATGTAGGCACAGCCGACGCCATTTGGTCTTTGGAATGCTTATAAGAGCCAATAAGACCTACAACTAATTCAACTAAAAATTCAATCATAGTCCAAAAAACCCATGGAAAATCAGAACTTAAATTTAAAACCAAAGGAAAATTAAAAACAGCTTTCAAATAAAAAATAATCAAAAGAATAGCTGATTGCACCAGTTGAATACGGGTAAACTTAATAACGATAAAAAGCTTTATTAACAACAGACCACACAAATTAAGGTAGTCTATGAAAACTGAAATTTGGAGCTCATATTATAAATAGTTAAAGCCGCTTCATACTGCAAGAAGCTTTCAACACATGCGGTCAGCACCTGCGGGCCTTGCAATACAATGAACTGCACACACTCTGGACCCAAAGATGCGCTCTGCTTTTTAAGCGCGACCGTTAAGGCCTCAGAGACGGGAAAATGGTTTCCATTTTCACAGAGATTAGTGTTTGAAGACTCAGGTGGATATTGACTACAAGTGCTACCAAGTGTAGCGGAGATACACAACTTCTTAAGTCAGAGGAATACTTAACGCTAAAAGATCAACTTAGTTCTAATTGATTAGACTCTATGAGTCAACAAGCGTTAACCTTAAGTTCTCTGTTACAGGGGACTGAACGATTCAGTAAATCTACAGCACTTAGTGCTTACAAATAGCAACTTCAGGGGGTGTTGCTAACACTTAACCATCAACGGTCAGAGTCGCCTCGCAAAGCACATGTCTTTGACAAGATCAAAAGGGAAATTGGACTTTATTTGCGTCTAACTCTATGGAATATCTTAATCCCAATATTACCTAATCTAGGCACTCATGTCCATATTGATAACGTTAAGATCTTTTCTATCTTCCAGCTATCACCCGTAATCCCTTATGAATCAATATTATATTCCATGTCTCTTTCAGTGGGATACCATCCCGTGTGTCTAAAACACGGGATACCGAGAACACTACTGTTTGTTAAGCCCCTTTACACGGTCGATCCTGCTTAATTACAAAGACCAGCAGCGCCGATTCCCGCAACTCTTCCACATTCAGCATGTGGTGCAGCTCGTCACGAGCCGCATCCACACGATCGCAATAGCTCGTGTCGAACACAAACTTAGCTTCTGTGGGTTCAGTAGCAGTGGCGCCACAACGGAAGAAAATTGTATATTTAATCGACGTCTTATATCGTGAGCTAATGCTATGTGCTCCAACGTCTCGACGTTGAAATCTACTACCAAGTCGTAGCCACAGCTTCAGTTAAGTTGCTGTGCTGCATCTGGGACACACACAAAAAGTGATAGCCTCCTCGTATGCCATTGAGACGGAAATTTACAAGGACTAGGGCAAGCTTTGAAATCTTGTGTGTATTTCTGTAATGCTGCTATTGTTATCTCTTCATGTACCGATAGTTGGGATGGTCGTGAATACATCGCCCAGCTTGAGCATGTACAATATCGTGTTTTGACAAACAGTGTCAAGAGCGACCACGAAGATGCGCATCTCCTTTTTGCCGCAGAAGCACTTAAACGCGCGATAAAGCCTTACCTATGATTGCTGAGTGTTCTTCTTGGTGGCTTCACTTCGGAAGACGGTCGTCTCTTTGCTACCGGAAATCTTAGAGTGAGCTGCAATGTGTACTAGTATGTGTTACAACGGCGTACTCCATTATGTCTACCTTTACATTTGGTACTTTGACTTGCGATTGCTACTCTGCTTGATCCCATTCGTTTTTTTTTCTTTTTTGAAAGGCAGTAAATTCCTTTCATATCCATAAATTACCTTGTCTACTATCCGTTAATGATTTTTGTGTGTTGTGAATTACATTTCTACTCCTGCCTTTATACTACTTTTTCCCTCACGAATGGTTCAACTAATACTATTTTTTACGATCACTACAATCGTTTAAATGAATCGGCACGGGATTGGGGTACGGTGCAAATTTTCGTTGGTTGCGGTTTAGACAAACCTGTATACAACAACCACATGTCACTCTGTTTCGCACTTGTCAATTATCCTCATTCAAGGCGGGATGACCCGTCGATTATGTGTTCATCGTGCGTCCTCGCTGCTGCAGTCTTCTCGACCTCCTCCTTTTGCTTCATTCTATAAACCCTCTTGCATACAACGTCAATATCTTGCGCGTCCATGTAGCTCTTCTGCGTCTCTGTTAAGCCCTGATAACAATCCTCTAGAGGAGGACATCACACGTATCCGGAACATCGGTATTCTTGCCCATATCGACGCCGGTAAGACCACAACAACGGAACGAATGCTATTTTACGCTGGAGCCATTCAACAGATGGGAGAGGTGCACGACGGAGATACGACAATGGACTTTCTACCCCAGGAACGTCAACGCGGCATCACGATTGGTGCAGCTGCTATTAGTTTCTCGTGGCGAAAGCATCACATTAATTTAGTTGACACTCCGGGTCACGTGGACTTTACAATTGAAGTGGAGAGAGCCGTGCGTGTGCTGGACGGAGCAGTTGCTGTGCTGGATGGCGTGGCCGGCGTCGAAGCACAAACGGAGACGGTCTGGGAGCAAGCGGAGCGACACAATGTGCCACGCATTGCGTTTATCAACAAATTGGATCGTGCTGGAGCAAGCTTTCAAAAGTCCTGCGAGTCGATTGAAGCTAGGTTTGGAGTACAGACGTTGCGTGTGCAGCTGCCTGTGGGTGAAGAAGCAGAGTTTGAAGGTGTGCTGGATCTTGTGGACATGCAGCTGATCAAATGGACAGACGCGGCGGGCACAGAAATGCTTCGCCTACCTTTGCTATCTTCAGCAAGCGGAAAAATCGCAAGTTTGTATCAACGAGCACTTGAAGGGCGTCGAACGCTCATTGAACGTGCCTCAAACTTCGACGATGAGCTTGGTGAACGATATCTTATGGAAGAGGAGATCGACAACGAGATCCTAAAAGCAGCTCTTCGTCGGATCACGGTGCAGCGTGGCATGGCATCTCAAGTCCTCGTGACGCTTTGTGGTAGCGCGTTGAAAAACAAGGGCGTGCAACCACTGTTAGACGCTGTGGTGGACTATTTGCCGTCGCCATTGGATTTGTCTCCGTTTGAAGCACATACTGTCAATGGTGGTAAATTGTCTCGTGGAAGTGTCCGTGGTTCGGACAACAGTCTGGTTCATGTTAAAGCGTCTGCGAGTGAGCCGCTATGTGCACTCGCCTTCAAGGTTCAGCACGACCGACAGCGTGGTCTGGTAGTGTTTTTCCGTGTGTATTCGGGTGTGCTGAATGCCAAGTCCCAGCTAATAAATGCGTCTCGCGGTGGTCGCAAGGAAAGGCTGACGAGACTCATGCATGTTGCTGCAGACGACGAGGAGATTGTAGAGAGCATTTCAGCTGGCCACATTGGCGCTGCTGTGGGGCTGAAGCACACATTCACGGGTGACACCTTAGTCAGTGCTAAGGATGCGGCGCATCAGCTAGTGCTGCTAGGCATTCAAGTTCCCAAACCCGTGTTCACGTGCTCGATCGAGGCCGAGTCATGTGCGAAGCAGAAAGATCTCGACACAGCGCTGGAGCATTTGCAGCGTGAGGATCCAAGCTTTGTGGTAACGGTTGACGATGAAACTGGCCAAACCCTCATGTCTGGCATGGGAGAGCTCCACCTCGATATTATCAAGGAGCGACTGCGCAGCGAGTACAAACTGGAACCTTGCGTTGGTGCTATGCGTGTGGCTTATCTGGAGAGCATTACGAATTCTGTTGGTCTGCCTTACACGCACGATACCATAATGGGCACTAACCGGCACTTTGCGAAGTTGACAGTCCATGTGGACCCACTGCTTGAGCAGCAAACTAAGAACCAAGACGAGGATGACGTGGTTAATGATGAGAACGATAGCAACATTGTACAATGGATGAACCAGGGCGCGAAAAAGATGCCTCGTGCCTTTGCTATGGCAATTGAGGAAGGTCTGTGGGCTGGACTCAGTCGCGGTGTCCTTACATCGAACCGTGTTGCTTATGTAAAGGTCACAGTGGACGAAGTCGATTGTGAATGGGATTCTAACTCGAGTGCAGCATCTTTCCGGGCCGCGGCTGCGCTTTCACTCAAGCAAGCCCTGAAACAAGCTGATCCTGTCATCCTGGAGCCAATAATGAAACTCGAAGTACGTTCCCCTGATCGCTGTGTGGGTGATGTTCTCGCTGATTTAAGCTCTCAAAGACGCGCACATATTGAAGAGGTGAAGTCTGCTTCCGGTGGAGACGGTGGTGACTCCATTGCCGACCGTGGCCGCTCTATCGTGTTTGCGCATGTTCCATTGGCACATATGGTCGGCTACGCAACCATCCTGCGCTCCAAGACTCAGGGCGAAGCTTCCTTCGGCATTCAATTCTTATGCTATGTGGAAGTAGACCCGGCTACTCGTGACCGAATGACGGTAGATCGAGTCAAAGGTTAGAGTTTGAAGCTGTTGGAAGCTTCACTGTTCAAGCAGCCTTTTGTCGTTGCCACTTATCCCGATCTGTCTGTACTGGAGACCGACGTCACAGTTGTTAGATATTCTATGCACAAGCCCATTAAACTAGCAGAAGTGACCAAAGTTGTCGCTGACTTAGACGTAGACAAAAGCGTTTAAATGCTGTTTAGACGGCTACGAAGAAGTTATGTGCAAATAAATAAGCCTTATGCTCTTTTCTACCGCATGTGGCAAGAAGCCGACATGAGGAAGCGCACGAACTCGTAAATTTACTCGACGGTCAGGTTGTTCGATACACTGATCACCGTGGATCTCAGCAATTGAAAACAAAGTTTCCCACCAACTCGCCAATCGCGGTCTCCATCTTACTGTTTGTGCTTTGCGTGCCCCCTTCGAATGCGCTAACCGATTATAATGCGTCTAAGCCTGCGAGGTGATGGGAAAGGGATACTTTCTCCAAATCGCAAGACAGCTCAGTATGGTGCGTTGGCGTCAACAAGTATACTAAACGTGTTGCAAGAGTGAGCCTTACCCGCAGCCTTATGCCCGCAATCTCACCCAGTTCGTAGCATCTAGTTGTGGACGTAATACGTCCTACAACATTTCAGGCACCTTAGCGATAGCTTCAGGTGTCTGCGTTCGCAACGACACTGCACGGCGAGCCAGATGTGCAAAAGAAAGTGTAGAGTTGTGATCTGATGCAATGCTCTAGCTCGATCTTACGTTTTTCATGCCATTTGCACCACTTGATTATCGCTGCATGCTTGTTATTGACTTAGCTATTTGCGACAGCAACATGGCATCTTTACCACGACGTGGCAGTAGGATTAATTTAACTCGTACACTACTAACTTGTAGAGTAGACTGAATAAGGACCGAATAGCGTCCAAGATTACGCCTCGGACGGCACGATGTGCTAATGTGGCAAATACTGTGCACTCGAGACGTTTGAACTGGACGGTAGCAAAGAATGGTGTCTGACGTCCTTCCGCTGAGACGCATGTCGATTTACCATACATTTTTGCCGGGTGTTTGACTTGTAAAGGTGCGACCTTATTTGTCGGTACCACTTTTGTATCCAGGGCGCATACCCGGGCTGGCAGCACCGGTTTTTTTCATCGGCTCTTTTGTTCAGTTTTATCAAAAAAGTTTTTTGGGTTTTATACTTTGCGCAGTCCATGGCGCAGTTATCTTCAGTTAGCCTCGCACTCGTAAGTATGTTAGTCGTATCATGTACAACTTAAGCGATGATGGCGCGTGTTTATCTACGCCAGGCGAGATAATGGATGGTGATTCGGTCGTATAGATAAGCCGGAGTCAGATTATGATATGGAGATACTTCACGGATGTTGTGTAGCCGCAGAAGCTTAAGGCAGCAATGTGCAAACACTGCCGAGATCTTACCAACCATCACAAAAAGAGTAGCTCTGCGATAAGCCATCTGAACAAGTGCTCCAAGTTTCGTCGCGTTATGAACGGGCTCGAGATTTCGGGGCGCCCGGATTGGTTCGTGTATACCGAAACACCGGTGTTTATGCGGCGCAATGTTGTAAGTACCATGTTGATCTCTGCGTCATCTCATAGTCAGCGGTCCATCAAGGAATTTTGCTTACCTTCGCTATCGTGGTCGGAGAAGGAGCAGTTTCAGCTCCATATCGCCATACACTACTACGCCACCGAGTCGTTTTTTAGCGCGTTGAGATTGTTCATCTTCAACAAGCTTTTCGCGTGCTGTGCTATAACCAAAATTATCCCGAATCGTAAGAAGCTCGCAGCTGAACTGTTAAACAAGTGCTACGATCGGTTGAAGGCAAATGTCAACATTCGCATGAAAGGCGCTCATTCATGTCTGGTAACTGATGGCTAGTCGAACATCAGGAACGACCTTATTATCAACTACATTGTCACGTATCTTACAGTCTGCTTTTACTCGATACAGTATCTACTGGACAGTAAGGTCGCAGCGCCGATTGAATTGCGCAGGACATCACGCGCGATTTCGATCACAATGCGCTGTCAATGTTTGTGAAGCGGTGATTGACAATACTTCAGTAAATAAGAATGCTTGGCAACAGATTAACAAGACGAACCTATCGCATAACTTCATGGACTGTTGTTTTCATGGACTGCATCTTCTCGTGGAGGATGTGTTCTCCGCGTCAAAAACCGGGAAGGGCAACGACAATGAGGCGACGTATCCTGTGTGACTATTATTTGTGGACATGCTCATCTTTGTTTCCGCGTGCAATGATCTGGTAGAGGTTTCACAATCATCATGTCGGGAAGGCACACCTGAAGGAGGCGCAGGAGGCTAGGTCCTCATGTTCCCTTGTTCGATTCGCGCCCAATTGTTAAGGGACCGTTCAAGCCATGTGTGCGTCGGCGGTTGCATCAGAGTGCCTGATCCCACAGCATCTTGAGCGCTCTCGAGTTTCTTGTTGGTACAGCTGCGCAGAATTCTGAGCGACAGAAGATCAAAGACCTCGCCACTGGTAATGGCTTCGTTGTAAATCTGTCTATTTTTGAGCTCATCGACGCATTAATTGTCAAGTACCAGTCTGGCGGTGTCCCAATTGAAGAAGTTCTGCCGGATTATCATGCCCCCCCCAAGAAGTTCACTGCTATCTATGAACGAGCAGTCATCACTTAGCTTGATCTGCAGTATTTGGAGAAGATCGCGGCTCCCCGCTTCCAATTGATGTATAATGTAGCTCACGGTCTGTCCTATCTCCTCAACCCTCGCCTTTTCAGTGACAGCTTGCCGTTACACAATTTCCGAACTCGAAGATAAGCTTCATAACACTACCATTGATGACACCACGCCCATTGACGACACTAGACGGATGTTCTTGTACACCGAATTGACTGACTTCATTATCTCAGTGCGGCATGAGAAGGCTACGAACTCATTCCGATTTTTGATGTTGACGTAAAAGGTGAAGACGCCACTGCAACACTGGCTGACGGACGGTGTCCAATGGCCAAATCTACAGCCCGTAGCAGTCAAGCTGTTCTCGTGGCAACATCCAGCGCTGGATCGGAACGCAACTTCTCCACAATAGCTTTCATCCGCTCAAATCTTTGTAATCCACTTAGTGTGGCATCGGTTGAAAAGCTCGTCATCGTAAAGAGCAACATGAGCGTCTTCCACAACATGCACACTGCGGAGTACTATCTATCGAAGACGACCCCAGCGAAAGTGATTAATGAAATAAAAAGTGTCCGAAATGGCTTTTTTTAATTTAAACCAAAAACCCGATGAGTTCATTAAAATATGGTTTTTACCCTGGCGTACACAGCACGAATTGGCTCGCAAATAGGCTCTAAGGTCAACAAATGTAGCATTTGAACAAAAGCAAGACTTCGTTCATGATACCGAACCATGTCACATAGATTTTCCAGGTGCCTAGCAATTCTATCTACGTAAGGAATTGCCGTCTTCTCATGTGTGCTAAACGTTGCATCAACCGAAGCGTCTGCCACGCACGACGGAGGAGCGAGTGAAAATTCAAACAACAAGTATGTGCCTTCGAATTAGTGCAGTAGCATCGACAATCACTTGTAAGTAAGCTGTGTGTATGGGCAGCTTTGATGCAATGCAAGCGTCAAGAGACACTAGTCCAGAGTTTTGGGTTGCCAACTGCCTCGTTCCTCGTCAGTTGCTTCCAGCTCTCGTGTGTCTGCTGGATCACATCGACTGCAAACTCCCTAGGTTGAGCTTCTCCGTTGAATGCAAAGTCACTCGGCGGTTTTCCGTCTGGAATCTTGTAATCCCGGAACCATCGGTGCACCTGCGACACGACATCATGCAGCGGCGTCTTGTGCAAATCTCTCAGATCATTAACCTGCTCAGCCAGAGGATCGTTGGCGTTGATTGCAATGACCTTCCAATCCGTCTCTCCGCTGTCAATCATACCCAGAATCCCAAGCACCTTAACGGGATAAATCGCGCCAACTTCGGCGACGCGTGTGCCTATTTCACACACGTCAATCGGGTCGTTGTCTCCCCCGTGTTTCGTTGCTTCATCCACGTACCGTGGATCCTCCCACGTCTGCGGCAAACAGCCATAATTAACCAGCGAAGCACTATGATAAAGACGAGGAACGCCCTTGCGTTCGTCCTGCTTGATGGGATTAAATGCCTCGTCGCCTGCAATCTCCATCTTGTGCCGCGAGCCTTTTGGAATTTCATTCACAAAGTAGTAGAGAGCTGGTTGACAAGCGTCTAGCGACTGCATGGTGGTACTACCGGCGAACAGAGGCACATGGTGCCAGGGCGACTGCTTTCGCTCGTTGTTGTCATAGAAGAAGTAGCGACAGTCCAGAGTGCCGTGTTGGCCACAGCGACGGACCGTGTGCTGATAGCGCAGCAATGTATAAGGTCAGAATGATTAATGTACAGGTCATTGCAATAACATTGAGACGGAAAGGAGACGCACCAGAGCCTTAGCACGGACAACTTGCGCCACGCGAGCACGCAACGTTGAGACGTGGAGGACCATTGGACGTAAAAAGCGAACCTACGTGATAGGATGGATACACGGACCTGCTGGATGTCATACTTAATATGTATGTGCGAGCTTATATATTGCTAAACTTAATTGTTCAGAGACTACCATATTATCCACTTTAACAGGCTCCATCAGTTGACTTTTCGAGCCGTCATTCCGCACCGCGTGCGCTCGAGACGTTGCTGGAGACGAAGATGGAGCCATTAGCGCCCGACGCAGCGTACACTTTGCCGTATCATAGCGCAGACTTATCACCTCTTTCTTGCGCGCAAGATGCAGGTGCAGGCGCGGACAAGGACGTCACGACCGAGGACAAAGACGAAGAGGAAGACGAGGACTTTAATTTTAATGCACCGTCTTTCTATGACTTGACGAACCCGGCACTGGAGCGGCATTATGTGAACAACGCAGATGGTTATTTCTCTTCACCGACGCCTTCGGGAGCGACGTCGACGGCCGAATCGCACGAGAAGGAGCGGACAGGTAGCAGTCAAACGACTGAGGTGGCCATCCGGCCGTGTGAATCGTACTTAGGCGAAACATATCACACATTGGAGGTTGATACCGATGCGCACATGGAGACAATGGCAGAGAAGATGTTGGATACGACAATGGTGGAAAATGAATTGGACGACACGTTGACAGACGTGGACCACGTGCTAAATAGGAGCCACTTGCTGGACGATCGACAAGAGAGTTTTGAAGACGTGTTTCGACACTACGCGTCGTCGTCGCAGTCTTCCATTACGTCGTCCTATTTGCTGCAGGAGGTGGATACGTCCACGCACAGCTCCTCTGCTACGCACGGACAGTTTTCTCCATACAGTTCATCGTCCTCGGCGGCCGCGACTGCCGCGACGCTGAGAGAGACGAGGACGAGGTCTGCAAGTAACGGATTGCAAACGCTTCCATCGGCCACGAGCACGTTGTCGACAGACGAATTGCCGTCTAAGTTGATGCAGCCGACGCAGTCGTATCTAAGGCGACTTCAGGCAGACCAGAAATTGAGGGAGCAGAGCAGTTTTGACGATGTTCTTGTGGAGGAAAAACCGCACCGCGCAACACGACCGCGAAGTCCTAAGATGCACGTGAAAACGCGACTTGTAAACCCGAATGACCAGTCGCGGTTGAGCAGTACGAGTCGAGAGCTGTTGAAGATTCAGGAGGAGCGACTGCATTTGCAAATGGAAAAGCTCAAGATTCGAGAATTCCACGAGAAAACAAAAGTACAGCGCCCACCGGCCAATGTTCATCTGCGGTCAACAAAGCAGCTTACAGTTCCGCTGACGCCACGGTTTGCCGTGGAAAATCGCGTACGACGGTGCCGTAGTGGAAGTGACAGCAACGAGTCTGGACAAGCTAAGCCAAGTCCACCTATTGCCGCGGAAAAGTTGTTGTCCCGTGATTTTGCTCTGTCATTGCCACTTCAGTCCCGGGAGAATCGATCTGCTACAATGGTGATATGCTGAATGCGACGGGCACACTACACTTCTGAGAACTTACGCATCTTATGTCTGTGACTATGCAATGTTTTACTAGGCACCACATGCTCCGCATCTTCGAACAGCGGCACGAGCTGTACTCCGCCCACCGCCAGCCCCAATCTCGCGTGAAAAGGCGAAGTCAGTCCCAATTTACAGTCGCTTTAAATTGGGCGGGGTCACCCAGGTTCGTTTTGTGTGCGCTTTTGCTGCTGCAAGTGATGTATTTGACGCAACTATTTTTGCATCACACGACAGCCAATGACTCCGCAACTGGAAACAAGTCGACGGGCAGCGACGTACCGACGACCTGTTGAAGTCATCGATCACGACGCCGAGGAGCTGGCCAAAAAGTTCCAAGCTCGACCGTTGAACCGACATATCCTCGCGCCAAAAGCATACTCCCACTACTCCTTGGCAAAACCGGACAGCAAAGACCAGTTGAAACAGTCAACGGGGCCGAAGCTGCAGACTAGTGCTCGTTCTGCAACCCGCATGGCAGCCTCGGAACGGGCTGCTTCTGTTGCTGTAGAGATGGAATGTCACCGCAAAGAGCGCGAGCGACGCCTGGCTGCACGTCCAGCCAGGGTCGACAACGCAGCACAAGTCAGTGCCAGTACCTGTTCGCCGCCCTGTAATTGCTGAAACTCCACCGCTAAAAAGTATCCAGCTTCATCGAGAGTATCAGGCAAGTTTTCGCCGCAAGATTGAGGCTGAGGAGAAGAAGAGAGAGAAGCAGCGTGTTTTTCGAGCTAATCCTATGCGTGTGACGGCAACGCCTCCAAAGTTTGAGGGTTCAATGAAGCCAGTCACCGAGACGCAACCGTTTGAATTGCCGGGAGATCGATTTCACGATCAAGCCCGTGAGCGCTTAGAGCGAGCACGTCGTGAAGAGGAAAGACAGTGTCTGGAGTCATCGGGCACTTTTCGTGCGAAACTTATGCCGGTATTTGAGCCTGATATCACCCACGTGATTCCTAGCACGAGGCCTCTTACTCAGACTGAGTCTCCTATGTTGGCAACAAAAAGTCGAGCTGTCGAACGAGCTGTTTTTGAAGCCGCTGAGAAAGAGCGTCGCGAACGCGAGCAAGCGTTTCGGAAACAGCGAGAGCAGCGGGAGCACCAGCTGGAGGAAGAGGAAATCAAACGTTTGCGGCGGGAGGAGATGATTTTCCGCGCGCGCCCTGTACCGGAAGTAACTCATTCTAGCTGAAGTGCGTAACCAAACTATCGACTGGACCAATTTGTTCAATTACGTGCCCCTAGCTCTGCACAATCCCGGTGTGGCCTACTCATCGAACAGTGAAAAAACTGGCTGAGCACGGAGACAGCTCAAGGCACGATAGACATCGGTGTTGGATCATGGTCTGATTTCCTAAGTTTTGAGATTGTGCCAAATTTTCGTTCAAACCCGGACGTTATAATGACGATCAATTTACGAGCGAGCACGCGTATAAGTGTGATATAAACCTAGTGACCATCGTCGTCATTCTGCCTTTAATCTTGTTTGCGTCTTGTGTACAGGTGGAACATACAGCAAAAGTGTGCTCTCAATTGTTGAGCACCAGCATCACAACTGTGATAATGAAAAGGTGGGAGACAAGCTTGACGCTAGCCTTCGTGCTGTCCGAGCTTACTGGGAACTGTGCGAGCGACGGAATCATGGAGATGCTGTCACAGTTCATTGACTTGGAAAAACTCGCCGAAGAAGCAGCAATGGACACGGTAGACGATCAAGTCGGTGTGAAGCCGGTTGATACTGCATATCCCGTAGCTTCGGTCGAAATGGACATTTTGTTGCAGTTGTATCAAGATTGCCGATCGAATAAATCGACAGGGCTGCGCACCTGGTGTACTGGCATTAAAAAGGATTCGTATCTGGGTGACGGCTACCACGAGAAACACAAATCGTGTCCAGATGGGATGGTAACACATCCATGCACTGGTCGAGTGCTTCGTTCCAACGAAAGTATGAGCGCTGAAGACGTTGTTTACTTGTGGCCATGGGAAGGAATACGGTGTGATCCATACACGGATCCAACTACCGTGACACACATGTACGCTCGTCAAGTCATACTGTTTGCGTTATGTGAGAGTCGTCGACGTTGCTGATGAAGTACAAGTGCAGCTATCTTCCAGGTGAGAGCCTGAAGTGTGAGTTGGCCAAGCTCGATCTCAGTGTCATGGTATCACTCGAGCAACTGTGAGTACTGCAGTACAATTGAGCTTAATAACAAGCAGCAAAGCTGACACGGATGCTGCAAATTTCGTCGGGATGCGACGGTTAGGGATTTATCAGGAAACGAGCTATATGGAGGGTTTCCACCGTGGCTGGGCGATATGACAGTGCTTCGGCTCTTGAACCTCGCAGAAAATGAGCTGACAGGTGATATACCGTCATCCTTTGCTGAAAACGATGCCCTCGAGCTTATGTACGAAGCCGCTTTGACGGAATCGATTGAAAGTGCTTTAACCGGCTTTGCGTGTGCCATGTAGTAACCTTTCTGGTAACAATCTCTCGGCTTCTACACTCAGTTCCTTCGATGCGTTCCATCGTCTCCAGCTCCTGTACGAATGCTGGGGCTATTGCTGATCGAGTATCTCCCAAATGACAAAGCCTCATGTGGAACAGGGACTTGTCGTCCAACCGATTTGCGATGGAGCTGCCAAGAAACGTTTTTGCAAGCAGCTTTCTGCAAACAATGTACGGAAGTTGAGGCGTTTAGCTGCAAATGACAATAACTAATGACATCGTTTGTCTTCACCAGAAATATCAGCCACAACAAATTTCATGGAGAGCTGTCCCAGCTTCCTGTTTTTGAGACCATCGAGACTTTGTGAGCTATTTCCCATGACACGTTTGTAAAACAAACAGACATGCTTGGCTTAACTAACATTGTTGAACCTGCTGATCTGTACGCAGTGATGTGTCCTCCAACTTGTTGACGGGCACGATTCCATCGCAATTGTCGTTGTGGGGCCGCGAAGACCCGCACAATCCTGATGAAAACTCGTCCTTGATCACAGTGTACGACTAGCACTTATGTCTCTTCAATGCAGTGAACTCACTCGTTTCTGCCGATCAAAATCTCAGCGATATATCGAGCAACTTCTTCACGGGTGACCTTCCAGTGCTATCCAACCAGTCTAAGCTGCAACGATTGTAAGACTCATGCTTATATTATTGCTTAACACTTTTTCAGCTTCTTACGTACGCGTTTGTGGATGTATCTGAATTTGTCCAGAGACGTCCATGATAACTTCTTTGACGGTTTGTTGTCTGATCTTCCTCCGTCATTGTAAGCAAGCCACATCGTTCTTCGCCTGGCTACAAGTGTAAACACTTAGTGTGATTGTGCAGGTTTAACTTCGCGAAGCCCTCGATGTTTGACGGGAACGATTTCCGATGTCCGATACCTGCCGCGCTGCTCCCAGGTAATCTCAGCTGCGTGTGTGGCAATGGACATACTACCACGTCGGAACTATCTCTGAAACCTCTGGATCACGGAATTGGTGCTACCGCACGAATACCCGCCAGCCAAGCTACTGAAATCTGCGTGCCGTGCCCCGAAGGTTGGTACTCAAACGCGACAACAGGCCAGAAGTGCTTTCCATGTCCAGCAGGAACTGTACCCAGTCGAAAGGCTGATTATTGCGAACCTTGTCTTCCTGGCAGATTTTCCAATGAGAGCGGTGCACATCTGTGCTTGCCGTGCGCTCAGGGAACGTTTACAGCCGACATTGGTGCGACATTGTGCATTTCGTGCAATCCTGGACAGTTTGCAGCGGAACAGAGCTCAACGAAGTGCGCTGATTGTCCCGCTGGAACCTTTTTCGGGTCGAAAGGGTCGTCAGCGTGTACACCATGTCCACGAGGAACTTATGTGAGTGCTGAGGGAGAAGCAGAGTGTTTCCTGTGCCCGAAAGGCACCTATCAAGATGGGGTTGGATCAGCTGAGTGCAAGGCTTGTCCAGTAGGGTACATCGCGCCTCAACCTGGTCATGTCAAGTGCTCGCCATGCCACCCCGGTAGTTTCTATGATGTCAGTCTCAAGACATGTACTCTTTGCCGTCCGCGCACATTTACTGCAGCAGAGGCGCAAATTGAATGCAGCAATTGCGAAATCGGAACAATTGCCGAGGGTGGCGGTAGTGACAGGTGTCTTGCTGTTGCAGCTCCCGGATGGGGATATACTGCTGCGGACATTCCACTGAAGTGCAAGTCAGGGACCTATAACGACGGGTCATGGAGAACTTGCCAGCTTTGTCCGCCAGGGACATTTGCAAGTGACGGAGGCTTGAAGATGTGCTCGAAATGTACTAAAGGCAGCTTTGCATCGAAGTACGGATCGACAGACTGCGTTCCGGCTCCCAGAGGTTCATTCGTCCAGCAGGAGGGTGCAACTCGAGCAGAATTGTGTCCGCAAAACTACCATGTCGACAAAAGTGGCTCAACAATATGTGAACCGTGTCAGGCGCCATCCTTCAGCTTTCTACCTGGTGGAGACAAATGCGCTCTAGCCGAGCTAGGAGAAGTGTATGAACGCGTAGAATGGCCTCGCTTGGCTTTGAATCTGGCAGGTTTGGGGCTACACGATCTCCTCTCTCAAGATGATCACGTTTCGCCTATCGATGTCCTGATTCAGATCTGGACCGGCACCTTGACGAGCTACTCGGGTACAAATCGTCCACTGCACGTATTGCAAGTGCATGAGTCTCGTGGTGCATCTCAGTCGACGCAGATCATTGCTGCAATCGAGGTAGGAAACCTGTTGGCACCCGAGACTCGAATCGGTAGCAGCGGTCTCGACAAGGGGCTTAATGACGCAATGCAGCAAGCAGCAGAAGGTGCTGAAAGTGCGTTGGACGATTTACTCGACAAGCTCAAGGGTGCAGCTTCTGGTGAAGGACTTCAAATGAGCAGTGATATTGATCAGCTTGCAGCTCTGGTGAGGTCAAGACCGTTCCGGGATGCCTTGGTTCGCCAGTTCGATGAAGCACACTTGCTAAGTGGAGCCTGGCAGTACAATTTGGTGAACGTGTCCATAGTGGAGCCACTATTCGTTTCGACTCGCGCAGTGGCGTGTACAACAGGAACATATTTTACTGTCACTGCCGATTCGAAGCGGTCATGTCAATCGTGCCCCGTCGGTTCATACTCACCCACTAGTGGGGCTTTGGAGTGCAGACCGTGTCCTCGAGGAACATTTACTGCAAAGGCAGGACAAAAAGTATGCAAAGCGTGTCCAGCAGGTGCCGATTCCGTACCGGGTGCTGCGTCATGTGTGGAATGTTCGTGGTTCACCTACGAGTGCCAAGATTTCTGGCAGAATTTGGTTGTTGCGACGGCCATTGCAATGGGTCTGCTCTCTATTGTCTACCAGAAGATCCGTCGACTGTTTGTAGGTGACAAAGCTCAGCAGCTACAAGACGAAAGTGTGGCGTTAATGGCGACTGTGCGAGCTCATGGTCGCACATTTGATGGCGTGCGGTATGCCCCTATGGTATGTGCGACTGCTATGATCGGCGAGCGACGAAGTGGCAAGACTGATGCTGTCGACTGTTGTGTTTTAGGGTACGATTTCGGTGGATACGATGTTCGGCCTCGTGCCTCGGGCTCAAGACACCCAGTCCGGCAATATGCCGTAAAACTAAGCCAGGTAGACGACGGTAATAGCCACATTTGGCATAGCCACATTTGTTACGCGACTGAAGTGATGTCGTCGTAACTGTCGGTATGTCGCCGGTATGTGACGTCGAAACGTTCGCGGACAAAGCCGAGTACTGACTTTGTTTTCTATGCAGTGTGAGACTCCAGAGATGTGCTTTTCCAACCTTGTTGCACCTCAGACCGCCAGCATAACAGATGCTACATTACTCACGCTACTTCAGTCGAAATGTTGGCACGTGGCGGGCCAATAGAGGACGATACTGCTCGCAATCTGAATCAGTATTAGGGGGAAAAAAGTGGTTTTCGGTTTCAACCGTCTAATCAGGTAGTTGCGCGTAAACTGTTCAACGAGCCCAAAAACGTCGGGTTCGATCCAAAAATACATCATCCGAGCCTCACGGGTTAACAGTTTTGACGTCCTGCTACAGCCAGTTCGGTCATATCCCTGTACTACTACTGACAGGAGGTAGGACTACCATGACAATCCTGAGTTTTAAAAAAAATGTCTTCCTTCGGTTTCTGGGCCCTGGCGGCAAATTCAATTCCGGCCAGTCAGCACGAGATCACGAAGGAAGCCATTTTCAAGTCGCGAGTCTGGCTCTTTGTCGCTTCAAGGTTGTCCGTACCTTAGCCATGCTAGGTCCACAGACTGGGGCGAGTGGGAACAAGTGGGGGACTTCCTGTGGCTCGCGCGCAGACATGGACAGCGTGCCGCTCTTTGAGCGTGAGCACCGCAATGACAGTCAATTAGTGCAGCGTCTACAGAATGAACTGGCGGACGCCAAGCGCTTTGTGGAGGCGCAGGCTCGACGTCAGAACGACCTCGAGTACGTGAACGAGGACTTGGAACGACGCCTTGAGCAGGAAGCGCTGGACCGCATTACTCTGGACGCACAGAAAGCTGACGACGAAAAGTAGTTTTATACCTTGTGCTTTTTTTCTCATGCGAAGTTCAAAAAAAGACGACAACTGCGTGTGGATCTCTAACTTAATAACCTCTCACGTGTCATGATATGACGACAGACGATGGCAGCACGAGAAAACTGCGTTGCAGGAGCAACTGCAGTCGTGGGAATTGCGATTCGAAGAGGAGACGCGACGTCGGGCAATGGCCGAAGAACGTCTGCGACGAGCAGAGAAGGAGCTGTATCGGATGCACCAGAAGAAATACGACATTGAGAAACAGGTCCGGCGCGAGGAGAGCGAGAAGCGGAAGCACGAGGCGGTGATTGTACGCAGTCTTCAGTCCGACTCACAGCGTGCGCAGCAGAGCGCAGCGAACGGGTTTATTGACCCGACGGTGAACCCAAAGGACGCCAAGCCAGCGACTGTTCGCACGCGACAAGCGTTATCTTCTGCAATGGACTTTCTGGGTGTCTGAGCGAGTCCCAGCGTGACGTCTGTTGACTGGAGCGCGAGCTTCTATTTTTTTGGCGGGAACTTGTTTTCGTCCAAGAAAAAAAAGAAGAAGAAGAAGAGACGCTTCTGAAGGTGGAATGAACCGGCTTCTGGTTAGCCGAGGTCTCTTGATGGTGTGGATACGAGATGCACTGGCCGAGTCTTCTCGACGGACTGCAGGCTGGTTGGCAATGCAGCAAGTGGTGAGGAACACCGTGGAAACGGATAAGGAGATATCATGGAGCAGAGAGAGGGAGGCAGATGTGGGGCGCGTGTATCATATGGAGCAGGATGAAGAGAGAGAGAGAGAGGTACTAGCCATTTGCATGATGTACCTTTGTTGTTGTTCGGCCTTTGTTGCGGTTGTGGGTTGTACTGCGTCTAGATTCGATCGCATGAACGAACACTGATACTTCAAGTGCAGGTTTTGCCATTCGAAATGCCGTCGTCACTGCGACAGTTACTAGACACTTGGTCAAAGTAACGGGTCTCCTCGTAACAAAACAGTTGGTGCCTCGAACGTCCGTCCGTGAAACGACGTCCTGACCAAATGGTGCAGCATATGTCAAGACAAGAGAGCTGCTCAGTCACCTTTGGAAGTATCTGCTGCACCTCTGCACGAAAAGTGGGTTTCGAACCAAGGTTCAGTTGTGGGCTCAGACCCCGGTCACGATGAAACTCTCTGTGGCGTTTGTCACTCGCAACAGCCAGCTGGACCACAAGATAGAAAGCTGTGCGTGCTACGTGCATTTCTTGGCAAACGTATCATCCACACAAACGACAAGGTGATACTTGCAACATACCTCAGTTTCTGGCTCATCGTCAGCCGTTTCTTCATCGTTTCGCGTCGTGCTGCTTCGTCTCGTCCAGCAGCACCATGTCAATCGTTATCGACAGTGCCCAGCAACCGTCAAGTACGGCCACGACCGTTCCACTGAGCTCAAACTCGAGCAAAGAGCCGGACGACTCTCATACCAGCACGCACCTCGAGCGAACTCTTGGGCAGAAAGTCGCAGCAGATCGACGACTACGCGAAAGTCGCGCGTCGTCCGCTGTGCTCAAGCAATGCGAGCTTCAGAGTCAATATTTGCACGGAAAGAACAAGATGGTGCAGTTTAAAGGTCTTTACGTCGTCCGGGGCCCGACCGAGTCGAAACACGTGCGCTATACGATGGACATTGTCGTCGCCGAGCTGCAGCTTCAAGGACGTTGTATCCAGCGCTTTCGCAGCTTTTTTCTGCTGCGAAAGCGTCTTTTGGAAGTGCTCAAGACCTGTCGAGGTCGTCTCTTATCTCGGAAGAGCACTTTGACGGGAGATCCCGATGAACCGCAAGGTTCGGCTGGTGCTGAGCTGATTGAGCTCTTGGCCCGTCCTCGTTGCGTCCAGTGCCCCGAGTGCGAGTTATCGTACGACGAGCTCGCTGCTGTCAAGTTCCCACGTCGGACGTTGCTGCCACCGAGTCTCCAGGACATTCAAGCAAGGTCTCAAATGCTCGAGACGTTCTTAGAATACTGCGTACGGATCGCTACGACCGTGTTGGCTTGTCAGCGCACGAAGCGGCTGTTTACTACGGCATTGGGCAAGTTTTTAGGGGTGGATCTACTAGCGAGTCTTGCTACGTTAAAAGAAGGGAACGACATGTCGGAGACTCGGTCGGTTGACAGTGTCGATACTGTTGAAGCTGGAGAGCAGCTGAACGAGGCGAACAGGTTGGACAAGTCGTGCAAAAAAGACCGTGGTCTGCCGTCGGTTTCGCATCAAGTGGACGGAAATCTGCAGTCGGGTGGGGACCATGAAGGCGGTCGCCACTCGGAGCCAAACTTCTCGTTCATCTCGCACTTGGCGAAAGACGACAAGCCACACGCAGCTAAAGTGCGCTCGAAGTCGCACTGTTAACGTGCAAGTAGGTCGGTCGGTTGGTCGGAGATAAGGTTGTGCAGGATAGTGTTGCCTTTATCCTGCATCGTAGCACTTGGCGAGAGAGACTATCATTCCGATACACTTGGAAAATAGTAAAGTTGGCACATTTAGTAGATTACAATTTACTTGCAATGAGTGCAGCCGAGTTGGCCCAAAACGTCCACAGTGACGGGTTTGTCGTCCTATCGGGAGAGACGTATAAAGTCTCTCCGTCCGTTGTGGAACTCGTTCGAGCTCAGGTACTTCAGCGGTATGAAGACTTTCTGACTGAAGCTGCCAACCAAAAGCTCGACTTGACCCTTTGTGAACATTCTGAGCGTCTATCGGGTTTCTACGTGCGTCAAGGAGGTCGAATCGACATGCAATTGAGCTCTTCAGCTTCCCAGCCCCATTGTTTGAAAAGCGATACAATAGCGACCATACGGTCTGTGGACATGAATCAAATCAATGCCATGACTGGCATTTGGCAATCAGTGCTCAAACAGGTCTTTGCACCTGACGGATTTCAACTCGAGTACGTTGGCTGTGTGCTCTCAAGACCAGGAGACGCCGATCAGAATTGGCATTTAGATGGCGTTCACCGGAATCAGCAAGTCCAAGAACCTGGTGAGTACAGTACAGTTGTTACTGAGGCTGATCTCTGTAGGTTGACAACTGCTTGTCGTGCGTTTCAATTGCTATATAGTGGATCGCCTCAACGTGTTTGTCCCGCTAGTAGCCATCACAGACCAGACTGGAGGCACCGAGATGAAGACTAGGTCGCATCTTCATGAGGACGGAGCTCTTGGGACGGCTTTTGAAGGTTACACACACTTGCCAAGTGTTACAGCACGTGTTGATACGGGGACACCTATCATCATGGACTACCGCGTATGGCACCGAGGTTTGGCGAACACGAGTCAAACCACTGTGCGTCCTCTGCTCTACTTCAAATACGCCAGGATGGTAGCACGTGCGGCAACGAAGGACTCAGCAGCAGCTCTGACAAAAAAGAGGAAGAGAATCACGCCAACGGTAGTTTGAATGCTGCTAGTAAGCCTTGCACGCGCCTCATACCTTGCTCATTTCATCGTGCATGGACATTTTAGTTCTGATACGGTCGTCTCAAAGGATGACAGCTGGTCCATCGATAGCGCGGCTTGTGTCTGCACCTTCATCACACGCCCAGGTAGCGGATCTTCATATTCACTGGTAAGCATCGACAAGTTCTTGGATGCATCGTAGCTCAAAAGATGGCCCCAAATTGCCAGAGATGCTTCAGCAGTAAGTGCTTGCACAACATGCTGACGAGCAGAAGTTAGTGGGTTGTCGCCTCTCTCTTCAAACAGGTAGACAACAAGATGGTGAATAGCAAGCGAGTAGGCAAAAGCGCCCCGAGCAGGGGACACCTGATTTTTGCACACCGCTTGTTGCATGAGCTGCAGCAGCTTGGCATCGACGGCAGGCGTCGTACCACCTCGAGTGCACCGCATGAACTGCTGCGAGCTGGAGACTTCGAAAGGCGCCAGCGTATGCAGCAGATGGGACTCGTAGAGCTCTTGCCAAACAAACTTTCGCAGCTCTAGGGGGAAATCGCGCGCCAATAGCAACGTCACGCAACGTGCGAAATGCGAGTTGCCGTAAGACGAGGTCGCGAATTCGCACACTAGCTTCTCAACAAAAGTCATCACTTGCCGCTCATCGGACGTAAAGGATACGGCTTTTTGACTCACAGGCGGTTCGTCCGTCTTCCCAAACTCGAGGCTTTCAATGCGCTTGAAGTTCCGAAGAATGCCTTTGTAAAGATCTCGTGAGTCCCCTGGTGAGTGCAAAATTGGCTGAACGAGTTTAGGAAGCAGTTGGTGTAGCACTGCGTCCACGTGATCATCGAAGAGGACGTCGCTGCCAGCAAAGAAAACGTGCATCAAGTGAAAAAGCTTGTCTTCCGGTTGCAGTTTGGCAATGGAAGCAACAAATGTCATCTGTGGCGCCAGTCGCTCGAGCTCAAAAACATAACGACACGTTGCACTCAGAATCAGCTTCACTTCATCACTCTGCGCTCGCGCAAGATTCACGTCATCCAGGCCTCTACCTTCTCCACTATTACAATACTCGATTCGTGACAGAGGACACAGCATCCAGAAATTTGGCAAAGGCAGATTGCTATGAATAAACGTCTGCTCCTCCTGAGGCAGCCGCAAATGGTACGAGAACCTTTTAGCTGTCGAAGCACCACCGGAAATATGAGCATTGTGTTCCTCTTGTTCATGTGTCACGTTTACCAAAGCCTGATAGATGGGAACTAACACGCGACTCAAACGCGCTGCATCAGCTTCTTCACGGAAGACTCCAAGCAACAGAAGCACACGCTTGTGAAACAACACTTGGGCGAACAAACGCGTGATCAAGTGCTCTCCGCCGCACCCCAAATGCTCAATAAGAATCAAGGCCTGGCGGTACACGCTTTGCACAAACTCGACATCTGAGTTTGCAATGACATTCTCGCCAGCAGCAATAAGATCGCCCGATAGTAAAGTGAGTTCGCACGCTTGAATTGAAGCAAAGCTGAAAGTGAATGATGAAGACGCAACAACGCAAGTTGCTGCAGCAAGCAAAGGTGCTTTCACTTCACGCAAAAATGTCTGTACAATCTCGTCATCATCCATGTCATCGGGCAGTAAGCCGTTGGCAACAATCTGTCCATGGTAACGAACGATGGCTAGCAGTAGATCTCGCTTTGCAACCGTTTCATCGAGCTGAGGCAGCAGTTTTCGTGTTATATCGTGTGACTGAACAAGCTTCCACACCTCTATGAGTCCGCTGGTCTCTAAGTTGTACTTGGTAGCATGAGTGCTGGCAGCCGATAGGAATCTCAGCACCGTAGAAAGAAGGACAACAGTCGTGTGATCCTTTGACATAGACGGTGAACGGACAATTCGGACAAACTCGTCCTTTGCTGCGTCCACAAAAAAGTCCAGTTGACTAAAATAGTGCTGCGCCTCGTGCACAGCCCCGAGTCCACAAAAGGCTTCCAACGCAGCAAAGAGAGCCGAGTTCCGCAAACTCGAGGCTTCCGAATAGCTGTGCATAAAACCCGACAGCACAGGAAACAAGTACGCGAAGCAGTGAAAATCGAGGCCGTATCCAAGAAGAATGCGCCAAATCCGGAGGCCTTCAACTTGCATCTCACCAAACAGTGCTACAGCTTCGAAGTCAGTCTCATCAGTAGACATGCTCTTGAGAGCTAGGAAACCCTTGGTACTTTGAACAAGACCGTTCGCTATGAGCGCAGCAGCTACGCTGCGTTGTCCTTGACATAGACCTCGCACAAGCTGTAAGGCCTTCAATGACAGACGCAGCGACCGCGCGTTGCCTTCTTGAAAAGTCAGCACTTGTTCACTCTCAATATACTGCTGCTGTAGTAATCTCAACAGTCTGGCGTTTGAGCTGATTTCGTGAGCCGCGCGCGGAGAGTGGCGAGCTACTGTAATCAGAATCTCCAGCATTTTTTCAGTAGCGTTTTGATCTGGCAGCTGAATAGTCTCGAGAATGTAACACAGCCGTTTGTCGAGATCCATACTCAGAAGCGCTTGAACTGGATCCAGCGCTGCGATATCTTCGTCACTGATGCTAGATCCATCGTCAGCCTCAGTTGTGTCAATGTACACAACTTCTTCAGCGCCGTAGACGTCACGCTCTTCGCTATCCGTTCGAGTGCCATCTCCGTTTCGGTGAAGGTGAACTCTTGGAGGTAGGACAACAGTGCCCAATGTGAGCTCAGGGTACAAGCGCTTGTCGAGAAGGTAATCATCAGTGTCTACAGGAACAACAAAAGCATGAAGTGCGGACAAACCAGCGCCTAGTGCCGTGTAGTTCTGGTCGTCCAGTACAATTCGAAGTGTCATCGCCATGTCCCGAGGGAGTATCTGTGGTACCAGAGGAAGAGAAGCATTTGCTAGCACCTGTCGACGATGCAGAATTTTGGCCACGACTTGGAGCGACATGGCGCGCTGGCTCGCCACAGTGCTGCGCGCAAGATGCAACAGCTCTGGCATAGTGTAACCTGCAGCCTCCGGGTCGTCACCATGGTGGAACAACCCGGAATGCACCGGCAGCTCGGCATCCGTCGCTTCCAGCAGTTTCCCATCCAAATCAAAGCGTTCGAGCGTCGCAGCTGCGAAACGCCGCGCACCGATTCGTCCACGACTTTTGTTGCCCTGGGCCGTCAACTTCTGGCTCTGTGTCCACTCAAGTTTCGCACGTTCGTCCAGCGGCAAGAGCTCGACTTGTTCCTGGAGCTCTTCGTCCGTCCTGACAGCTGCCAGCTTTTGCATCCTCAGCTTCCTGTCCATCTCTCGAGTCACCGCTTCCTCTTCTTCTCTCCCTCCAACTCCTTCTTCCTTTGTCAAATGACGCGCTTTTTCAGTCGAGTCTAACCCCTCTTGATCCTCCACCGTCTTGCGTCGAGCTCTCAGTTTCGCAAGTAGTCCCGCATCCAGCGTCTGCTCGAGCTCTTGCTGTGCCTCCTGCACCTCCTGCGCGCTCATGTCCTGCACGCGCGCACGATTTGCTACGTCAATGGCGCGCATCTCTTCATCTTCGAACGATTTGTCCGCACTTTGGTGCGCTGCGCGGCGTTGTCGACCAAAAAGAGGGTTTTTTGGACGACCAATACCTCGCGGACTGTTGTCCCCTACCCCTCGTCTGGCGACGCTTGGAAACCCCAGTGGGTTCTTTGGATTTAACCCACTGAGTAACAAACGCTCGTTTGGACCTACAGATAACGTCACGTGACGCTCAACGACGCCCTTGAGCACCTGGACACTGCTGCTTCCAGTGGGTTCCGGTTCCTTTGGAATTGAGCGCGAGGCTGATGCACCACCGGGAGCTTTGGTACAACGAGTGACGGTTGCCGACGGACGTTTTCGCTGCTGCAGAAATTGCTCCTGCTCGCGCACAAGTTGTGCCAACTCGGCGTCCATGTCGATGCTCGATGTCATTGTCGCAGCGGTGGTGGTCGTGACTCGTATGTGACGTGCGCAACACGAGGGTCGGTTCACAAGAGTGATGATTGTAGTTGATGTGTAACACATGAGATAAGGGGTGGTTGGAATCTTATGCTAGGAAATACGAGGTTTTGTTTCTGAAGTGTCAATTGTGGTTTCGAAATCAATGAGTATCTCCACACTTGTTGCAGTAAGATTCTCTTGTTGGAACACCATACGATGCCGATCATGTTGGATTGGCATCAGTCAAATGCATCGGAGCTGCTCGAAAGTCAACATATTTATGCATAATGGAAATACAACCCGTAAGTAAAAGATGCGTCTTTGTGGATGATCATTGAAAGTTGTAGTCCTTTTTGCACAGTAGTAAACAGACTTTGACGCGAGCACATGATGTGTTAGTACCATGTTGCAGGCAGCTTCGATTCGTGCACCTGTCGCACGTATCGCCAAGATGCTCTTGTGTCACCACCACTACCTCAGGTAGTGACAACCACTTCCCTTTTTATTGCACCAGTTTTTCACTGACGCAATCGAACACATATCCCGTGTTTATGAACCTCAGTCTATTGCGCACAAAATCCCAAAGTTGTTTATACTTTGATGTAACTGCGAAGGGCAGAGTGCATTGATGTTGGCTGGTGCAACCAGTGAAGCGAATGTAAGGCTTCTTCAATCAACGGCTAGACTCGATGACTTGTTCGGGCTATGTTACAGCTACAATACATCGAGCAAGTACTGTTCACCATTCGTTTCTCTATAACGAGCAGGGATTTTATTGACTGATTGTACTGCTAAAGTGACGGTCACTGTAACATTGACCGGTTAAGCGACCTACTGCGACCTTGAGTGACCAGTGTACATGTTTAAAGTAATTTGCACGGAAAACGGAGCTAAATGCCAATCAAACACACCGTCTGATAGACTACCTTTTCTATCCGTTGGCTGCTGCACAGCCGGCAGCGCCAACGGCATCAGCAGATGTCTAGCCGATGCGCAGCATTGTTTGAAACAGCGATTGGGTAGACGAAAATCAGCCATTGAAAAATGTGCGTGCTTCTGTCAACGATCTCAAGGTTATGCATAGTCTCATGCACTAATCACTGCAATCGAGACTCGAAACTATTTATCGTGTCGTGAAAAGGATATGAAAGATACTTGAATCGCAAGGATGCATTGCTGGCGTTGCAAGGCGATGAAAAGAGGAGGGGGTAAAGTCACGAGCTGCTGCACGAGTGTTTCGCGTAGTTTAAATGACAATATCGAGTGGGAGCCCGGCTACGTGGCTTCTCAGTAGATTACGACGAGTCGAGGGCAGAGTTGATGTCGGGTTTGACTCATTGTTGTATTCGGTGAGTTTCCGCCAAAACTTAAAACGAATATGAGGAACAAGGTCATTTTGAATTCAGTCGAGTCGATGCTGTGCGGAGTTGAAAAATACAGCATTTCTAGAACAAAGCGATGACACAACAGGGACTGGATCGGTTCTTCCTGCATATTATTGCGAGCCCGAAGGGTGAAGCTATTAGTGACTGTGCGCAAGGTTGAATGCCGAACTTTTTAAGCGTGCTTATCCGTGCGTGTCTGTCTGTCTATGAATAACGCGGTTAGGTGTACCTCACCCGTACTAAGTGCGATCTAGCCTGTACCCCCCGTGTAGGTATGAGTATAAACCAAGTCACTCTTTAAACTAAGTCAATATTGTGGTACGCGCTTAGAATTGGCTATGAATCGATCAAAGGTAAATGTGATCACATGAGCAACTGCAGGACGCTTACAAGCAAAGGCCGATCACGTTGCCTAAGTATACTGTACTAGGTTAATACAGACAGTAACAGCATCATACTCCTTCTTCAATGACCGCTGCTGTTGTATAGCGTTATGCAACCTGATTCAGTTATATGAACTTAATGACTCATCTCAAGGGGCAAGCTCCATAGCTTGCTCCCCTATCTCATAATCGACACTAGCATTTGTCAACATCATCATTCCATATTATTATAGCGTCATTATGTAGTTGTTTCTCAATATTTAATAAGGGTAATGATGTTTCACCCCCCTTTTTATTTACTTTTATTCCCCCCTAAAACCAAAACAGAGCTGTTTTTATACGATACAGCGCACTGTTCGATATCACGCACCGCATGATCGCCTATGTACTACTTGTTTGGAATACTAGGCAAGCGCTAACCAATATGAGCTCAATGTTCCTGAGAAAGAGGAAGCTAATGACGAGCACGGCTCTGGTCGATGGATTGAGGATTTGCAACCATCACGCTACAGATTCGGCCCTTCGTTTCCATTTCACGTACTCCTGCGTCACTTTCGCTTGTCGTTGTTGATGTCCAGGCTTACGCTGCATACGTTCGAATACTCCTGGCGGGGTGGAGCGATTTGCTCTTTTGGCTGCACACCTGCTCGCTTATCTTTGATTGTTGCATATCCAGCACTAGTGTGCATGTTGAGGTCTTTGTACATGTCATGGTTGTTGGTTCCTTCATGTAGACGTCTTTTTTAACAGCTGGAAGACGTCGAACTGTTGCGGTCCGAGTCTATACTCGCATCACGTGCATTGTGTATTGGCATTTTCTCTACAGCAACATGGATGTATGATCTCGCTCGATCGCTCACAACGATCGTTTCCCCTTTTGTAGTCGGACCAGAAGATCGAAAGTTAAAAGCTTAGCGCGCTGATGTCAATTAAAGATCTATGAACATCCCTGCTGCTAAGAGATACTTGACTTTGAAAACGTACCAGAATCCATTGATTTTTGAGCATATCCTTTTGGAAGTTGCAGTGTCATGGTGTGAATGGCAGTGTGTAGGACGGACCGAAATAGTTTCGAGCTAGTACTTCTATTTAAACTGTAAAATGCATCTGTTATGGTTCAAGGGGATCCAAATAGTAAAATTGGGGGGAGAAATATCAGTGCCCTTCGTTTTATCGATAGCTAACAACTATGAATCTATAGATATTATCAAACTTTCCGAATGAAAAAGTATTGCATAGTTAGCTCAGTATAAATGCTGTGAAACTGTGACCATTCTCATACATTTCTACATCACTAAACAGCTAAAACTGTCTTGTAGTATAATATGATTCGTTCGTAGTTATAATTCTTATCATACCCTGCTTTTCTCTAGCTGCTATCATCAAAGACGAAATGTCAGATTTCTAATTTTCTTCCAATGAGAAGCATCATCATTTATAAATCATAATTCGTCAACCGCCGCAGTTATAACAGAGTCACGGGTTGCATCGACCTCGTCATCGCTTTACCATATCCATCTGACGGTATAATTGACAGTGCAATTTTCGATAGTTCCGCTCTTGGACATGTGTGCGTTAACGATAGTTTTGCTACAGGATACACCAGCTCTAATGCATACCTACCAGTAGACTCACGCGACTACACTTTGTTTCTTCCACGGACGTGAATAGCCAAATTTTGCCTCCTGGACCTTCATGCACTAAACACTCCGCGTATTTATATAGTGTGCCTCGTCTTCGTTGCATTTTATGAGCTTGTTGGAACAAATTCTTTTTACGAAATGAATTGATACGTTTGTACATGGGTCACATTGGTCACGCTCACTCTTATTTTAATTGACTTTGGATACGTGACAAGTCCAATTTACCAGCGCATTTGACATTGTTCGGTCACTCACGTCTCTCAGCACGCATCAAAGAGTGTAAGAAATTAGTTCGCAGCTAGATTAGGCAAGAGGACACATCAAAATATGCCGTATTCTTGTACTTCATGATGCGATAACTAATACGATGCGTAATTACCACAACGCATACCTCATTCCACCGAGATTCATGCAAGGTTGTTTGATAAAGTTGAGCACGTGTAACGTCTAACAGGGATGAGGCCTGCTCATTGCGATGGAACAATAATCGATGCAGTGTGTTGGCGTTGCTTCAGCCACAAATGTTCAAATTGCGTAAAGCGCCAGAGATGCAAAATGTTGAAGTGTTGTGATAGCCACGAAAAAATCGATGCAGACAAAAGCATAACGTCTAAATGCTTTCTGAACAGTACGGGAGAGCTGGTGGCAACTGACGTCTATTGATGACACTGGATGACAACTAAAAACGACAAAAGATGGATGCAGACAAAAAATCGTCTGGACGTTTTCAGAACAGACAGGTGATCTCGTGGCTACTGGCACCTACGAATGGCACGGCGAGATGTGTTGCTTGACTTCAGTCCCATTCTATTCTGATGGATGCGCTATACGTTGCTGACAGTATTCACAAGTGTTGCTCCTGATGAACCAGATGAATTGACTTGTTGAAGTGGACCAGACCTGCAATCAGATGACGTTACTATGATCATATATTTGAGTGGCCTTCGAACACTATTATATCTCTATAAAAGTTGTTTGCAAATCAGTTACATTATACCCTAAAATTAACCCGTTGTTGTGTTCAATTTTATATTTGGATGATGTAGAGCCACAGAAAGATTCGGGTTCCATAATACCAAGCAATGTGCCAAGTCAAGCGTAAGCTTTAACGAAGCTGTATTGCCCCGATGCATTTTAGACCTCTATCGGAACTATGTATGTACTTCCATATTGTGACTTATACATAGACGCTTGCAGCTGATCTAAGGTATTTGTTAAGGTCCGATGGTCTAAGAACTTGGGGTTATCACCACTGCTTTCATCCTCACGTACCAAGCATCGTAACGTTCAAATGACGAATAGTTTACGCAAATGATTGAAAGACGTCCATGTCTGCTGTAAATGGCACAGCTTGGATAAATGCTCATAGCTAATGTTCTTTTCATGTTGACACGTAAGACGGATGCCTCACAATAGCCTTTAACATTCTCGACAATACGTGCTACTGCTCGCAGGATAAGCGCTAGAATTGAGAATTCGCGGATAACCGTGTATTCGAAGTATTTTGAATCTTCCCACAGGCCAGCATCATGGTGCTTCTACTAATTATGTAGCCGCGAGTTCGCGCCAATCGTTGACAT